AGATATGCCGATGACACGGTACTAATCGCAGAAACTTGGGAAGATCTTCAAATACTAATTAACAAAATAGTAGAATGCAGTGAAGAACACGGATTATCACTTAACATAAGCAAAACAAAAATAATGCTAATATCTAAATCACCACAAAACTTCCCTGACATAACCGTGCATGATCAAAGAATCGAACGTGTAAGAAGATATAATTACCTGGGAACTGTTATCAACGAAAATAATGACTGCTCTGAAGAAATCAGAACCAGAATAGAGAAAGCTAGAGCCACATTTACTAAATTGAAAAAGGTGTTCTGCGGAAGAGATCTAAGTCTAAAACTTAAAATTCGCCTTTTGAGATGTTACGTTATGTCAGTTCTCCTCTACGGGATGGAAACATGGACATTGAAAAAGATCGATACCAAAAAGATAGAAGCATTTGAGTTGTGGATGTATCGTAGAATATTAAAAATACCCTGGACAGAGAAAGTAACAAATGTGGAGGTTTTGCGGAGAGTGCGGAAAGAGAAAGAGCTGATACTTACTGTTAAAAAGCGCAAACTACAATATTTGGGACATGTTATGAGGGGAGATAAATACCAGTTGCTGCAATTGATTATACAGGGAAAGATAATGGGAAAGAGATCTATAGGAAGAAGAAGGCATTCATGGTTGAAAAACTTGAGAGAATGGTACAATTGCACCAATTACCAACTGTTTAGATCTGCAGCATCAAAAATACGCATAGCTTTGATGATAGCCAAACTTCGGAACGAAGACGGCACTTGAAGAAGAAGAAGAAATTTGGGCCAGTGTGATATGGCCAGGGCCTGGGAATTTCTTATTTTTGCTGTGTTTGATGGCTTTTTCCACTTCGCTTTTAAAATACTAGAACCAGTATTTGTATACTTTCTGGTGTTAAGTGGTAGCCTCGTATTCAAGACAAGCTCCTTTATGTAATCAGGCCATTCTTCCTTTTTTTCGTTTAAGTCAAGAATTATTTTACCTTTGGAGTGTCTCATGAAGTGAATAGTTCTTTTTGTATAAGCATAGGTAACTTCTTTAGGTTTTTTATGTATAATAAACTCATAATGTTTTCTTTATACTTCTTCAGTTTTATATATTCGATCCATCTAGGTCTGTTTTGCTCACTCTGTATCTTATTTGTCGATATTTTCCTCTATATTAAGTTTCGTATTTGCTTTTTCACTGGCTTCTTTGTTGAATAAGGTCTAGTATTTTATGCAGCATCTAATCCTTTTTCTTTTTTAGGTCTTGTTCTGATTTCAAACCTCCCTGTGCTGTAATGATAGTTTTTAATTAACCTATTTATCTTATTTCTGAACTCATCTTTTATTACAGGATTTCTTAGTAGTCGATTATTAGGTTTCTTCTGACTTGTCGGAGCTTTTATTCTTTTTAGTTTTAGTATAAATCCAGCATAAAGCAGATTATGGTTAGTTGCTGCATCTATACTTGAATATGTTCTTGCAGATATAGTTCTATTTCTAAATCTTTTATTAACCCTATATCTGTAGCATAGGCTTGCATCGTTCCCTACGAGACCTGTCTAAAAAAATGCTGTAATTACTAACTGTAGGTTAAATTTTTAAGATTAAAAATTATAGAACAACAAATTTTAAAACTAGTTTTTATTTAAATTAAAAATATACTCATACAAAAAAAACAAATAAAATACAAAGAAGAGTCAGCTCAAAAATAGTAAAAAGTAGCTCAAGTAGTAAAAAAATGAAAAAACATATCTGTAGAAGTACTAAAAAACGCAGTACAAAGATAAACTAAATTGCTTACAGTCCTTACGTATGCCAAATAAATGTTTTAAATATAAAAAACTAGAGTAGTAAAGACGGCAAGATACGGATCCCCAATAGGAAGACGATCAATAGCAAGACCACGAAAAGGATCGAACGACAACTTACTGGAGGCACACTGAAAAACAGTCAGAGTCATGTCTACATTAAAAGAAGAAAAAGAGAAGAAGCGTTTCGTATTTATGATAAAGCGTAAATAGTTGCGTCGGTGCCTGAGACCGATATTAACCGACCGAACCATATCACATTAAACTAACCCAGCGATACTGGTGCCGCTAGTATCGATTAAAACGACAAATTGAGACCTAAAACGGTCCTAAAGCAGCCGACATTTGCAAGCATATTTGGGGTTTTTATGGATATTTCGTATCTGTGGGTCTATGGGACCATACGCGACTATTAGCGGGTTAATAATAATGTAGTCAATTTTATTCAGTCCTTTGGTCTTCTTCAAACAGACGGACTATATTGCTGGTAGGTAACTTTCCTATTCGGCTATTGAACTCACCTATCAAAACGATCTTCTAAGATTCTAGTTGCATTAAAAATTTCATTGAAGAGTACAAAAAAAATCTCTATTAGCGACTAATTCATTATCCAATGGTACATTGCTATTAACGTGTTGTTATGCTGGTTTAGTTTGATATTCACTGTAATTTAATATTCACTATACAGTATGATGCAAATATATGGAATAAATTTATAATTTCAGAAACAGACGATTTAAAAAAAAACTCTTCAAACAAGTCAATTTTAATTTTTGAATGATCATCAACTGATGGTCATCGACGATTTTTTTAAATACAAACCGACACGCGACAGCTCATTTGAAAGGTGTCCTTATCGTCTTTGGAACGATGTTATCACTTGAATATTTATTTTTACAGGGTTCACCAAAATTATGAACTTTGTTAAGTAACATGGAATAAATATTTATTCATTGAACTAAAATACACCTAGGAACGCCACTGAGAGTAAAACAAAATACTGTTTTTTGCTGGCTCCGAAAACAAACAAGGTTTAGATTATAATCTGAAATTAATTATTGTAGAAGTAAGTAAGGTATTTTTCCAAAATATTTAAATCAATTATTCTCATTGACTTGTCTTTATTTATCAATGATCTGTGAATCTGTCAAATAATGGACATCAAATTTTTACTCTTCGAGTTTTTTGCCGACAATAACAACATTTACAAAAATTCCACGTTGTACTGGCGTTTCAATAAAATCTTCATACCAGTTCTAGGCAAGTCGCACTAGATAATAATGTCCACCAATCAACTTTTGTAAGAGTGAAAAAAAAGGAGAAGTGGCATCGATACAAAGTACATCTGGTCCAGGATCTATTAGAAGATGACTTTGATGGAAGGATCGAATTCTGCGAAACCTTTATGGAAAAATGTAACAGAGATCAGGGTTTCATACAAAAGGTACTTTCTTATATGAACCGTCTTTTATGCTGAACGGTCACGTAAACTGCCAGAGATATCGATACTGGGCAAGTGAAAATCCATATTGGATCGAAGAGTGTAGGGTGTACACAATATCAAGAGAAGGTGAATGTTTGGGCCGGTATTATAAACAATCAAATTGTAGAGCCATATTTTTTTAAAGAAAACTTAACTGCTTTTCGTTATCTAGAATTTCAAATCGTTCAAATTTCGTTATCAAAATTATCTGTTGCCACAGCTGAATCTGCTATTTTTTTATAGAAATGATTTGTAAAATTGAGTTGAATTGAATTGAATTGAATTGAATTGAATTGAATTGAGATTACGAAATTACCTTAATAACGTTTTCCCAGGTAGGTAGGCCGATAGGTAGAAGGGGTCTCATCATGGCCACTAAGGTCTCCAGATTTGACTCCAATAAACCTTTTTTGTGGGGGTATTTAAAGAGCAGAGTGTACTAAAATCGACCGAATAATGTAGAAGAGTTGAAGAAGCGCATCAGAACGGAAATTGAACTAATTACACCTAGAGTCATCGAAAACGTTAGGAAATAATTTATTGTCCGTTTTTTACATTGTATTATTGCTGAAGGTCATCAATATGAATATTTGTTGTAATTTATTGGTATTTAAGTAAACATTTTGTAAGTTAATTATATTATTAAACCAACAGTTTTGGTTAACTCTGTAGAAATAAATATTCAAATGATTATATCGTTGTAAAGGCGATAAGAAGACCTTTCAAATGAGCTGTCGCGTGATCTCGGTTTGTATTTAAACAAATCGTTGATTACGCCATTACGCCGACACTGATGACGTAATGTCTAAACACATATATAGCAGTTGATTAATGAATTAAAATTGACGTCTTTTACGTTTTTTTAAAAAGTCGTCTTTTTCTGAAATAATGAATTTATTCCATACGTTTGCATCATACTGTATATGGTCGTATTTAATAATACATTCAACTCACTGTTTCATTGTTTCGGTAAGGGTCACCTTAACCATTTTAAGTTTTTCTTTTTCCGATAAAATGATGTTCATTTTGTGTTTCACATCCTGTATATTCCATATTCCCATATCCATTAACAGCTTCCTTCATTTTTGTAGTTTATCCGTAGATCCGTCCATGCATCCGAGGTGATGTTTAGATTTTTTAATAACTTGGTATTCGCGTAAGCAGGGACGTGCTGCTAGAATCCTTCTTAGCAGTGTTCTTCTTAACGGGTTACTTATCACTACAGATCCACATTTAAGCATGTTCCTTCCAATCCCATTCGCAAATTCAATTCATGCTTTCAAATAACAAAAAATTCGAAACAACAAAAATAGTTTACAATAATGCAGCAAATGAATGGTTAGTATTTTGTGATTTTTATACGCATTCACCCCTTCTTCACCCACTTCAATAAGTAATTTTTTTATGTATTTAGCAAAATTATTCGGGAGAAATCATTGATATTGCAAAACTTTAGAATCAAAGGCATGTTTAAATCTAATTAATAGCAGATACCGCTTTCTGTATTGTTAAAGCTTTTGAAAGGTTTTATCCCTAATCAGCCTCACAGATACCTTGCAAACTCATGGTTTTACTTGTTCCTCTTATGTTTTTTATTAATTTATTATTAGTCATATGTTACAATTTAACCTTTTAGTAGTTATTAACCTAAGTATATAGTCCAAATAAAATTATTTTTCAAACCACTTCTAGTTTAATTCAAACTGGTTTCACAAGCTGCTTTCCCGTTTGTGTAATTATAACACTTCTTATATTCTACGCCAAGGCTTTCGTGCCAAACAAGACAAAGCAAAAAATGTGATTTCTTTGTAGACAATTTTGCTAGTACTATAATACTTTCATACTTTTAATCGCAAAGAACGTAATTAATTTTTATAAAAACCTGAGATGACTTGAAAGTACCACGAAGCAATTTTATTGATTGGGGTCCAAAAAGTGTTGTGATGCACTAGAGTTACCTATTTACTGCATCTAATTAGTTTTCGACCTTCGGCTAAAAAATACCATCTTTGTGTTTTACCACAGTCGGCGAGAGTATTCTGAAGTATAAACACGACAAATAATAACGTGCGTTTTAATTTACAGGAAGCAGTTATAAAAGTAAGTGTACCAAATAATTATATAGATCATTTGAAAACCATACAAAACTAGGTAAATACTTATTTTGTGCAATTAAATTATTTTGCAATTACAATTTACTGTTCGAGTAATCATAGTCTTTCAAAACAAAATAATTTTTTTTTATTTGATAAAGTTTATTGACTGCCGTAACACGAGTTTTTAATAGGGGCAATGATAAAAATAATCTATTTTATAGTCCCCTTAATTCAACTTATTTGCATGTGTAACATATAGTCATTTTAATCTTAAAAGTGTGTATCTTTAATTTGTCTCTTCAGAAGCTGTTAGTTTATTCACGGTTGTAATTTTCTCGGTGTTGAAATGTCCCGGTGATGGCGAGTGAATGTTATTCTTAATCATATTTGGTAACTCCAATTCCACGGTTCGTTGAAAGTTTCTTAACATTTTGCACATTTTAAAATTCAATTATTCGCCTAAAGATCATTTTAAAATAAATATAATTTATAATTTATGATATTTACAGAAAATATGTCACAATTTTTCTTTAAAACAAGTTGATTTTGATGTTTTGGAAATCGTTTCCAAAATACAATTTGTGTTTAGAACATACCTATACACTGCTTTGAAAACTTTCATTTTTGTATTCCCTGATAATTCTTTTTTTTTTTTTTATTTTAACAAATATACCCGCATCAACCACTAAGGGTTATTAGCAGGGGGACATACACAAACAGTAAGATACATATTGTTACATAAAAAAAAAATATTTTTTACAATTTCGTATATAGTTTAGTCATTTTAAGAAAACTTAATAAAGCCTGTAAATTTGACGTTAGTACACTTTTTAAATTGTCACTAAGGGCACACGCGATTCTTTCGTTCTGGTACACTGGACACTCAACAATTATATGTTTCACTGATAACTGAGTGTTGCACTTGGTACACATCGGAGCAGGCTCCTGGTTGAAGATATGCTTGTGGGTAAGGAAAGTATGTCCTATTCGGAGTCGGTTGATAATGACTTGGTCTTTTCTATTATTTGGTAAGATGAGTTTGGTTCCTACTTGACTTAGACATTCTTTAAGTTTGTTGGCAGTATGATCCCAAGTAGTTTGCCACGCTCTGTACATGTGGGCTTTGATATTAACTTTGTGATCAGTCCAAGGCATTTGATTTATGATAGGAATACTTTGGTCAGTGGTTGCATTGCTTGCCAGAGAGTCCACTTCCTCATTACCACTTATTCCCATATGGGAAGGTACCCAGATGAAGGAAATATCTTTTTGTTGACTCTGTAGATTAGATAACTCTTCTTTGATCTTGAGTAGTATGGCGTGAGTTGTATATAGCTGTTTTATTCCAAGTAATGCGCTCATTGAATCGGTGATGATAACAAATTTGCTTTCATTGATAGAACCACATTTTTTCATAGCCTGGTGAATTGCCGTGAGTTCTCCGGTATATATACAACAATTTGTTGGGATTCGTATGGTAGACTTGACGTTTTCGTAGATGTAGGCTGCAGCATGTCCTTCATCACATTTGGAAGCATCAGTGAATATTTGATGGGTTGTTGGGTATTTGGATATTATATTTTTATAAGCTTGCTGTATAAGGAAAGGATGTGTGGAATGTTTCGGGAGTTCTTTTAGAGACGTGTCGATTTTTGGAGATTTGATCATCCAAGGAGGAACATTTACATGAATAGGCATAGTAAAACTGAACTGTTCTAAATTAAGACCAATATGTTTTATACGTTCAGGAAATGGTAGTTTTTTTATTGCAATGTTTCTGTAAAGATCGGACGATATATTTTTTCTGCTAAGTATTGTTGAGTAGGTTACGTTGCTGTTGTTTGCTGAAATTCTGGCAACGTAATTTAGTGATAGGAGTTTTCTTCGTTGGCTTAAGGGCAGTTCATTAGCCAGAGCTTGTAAGCTACTTACTGGACTAGTTCTTGTTGCACCTAAAACTAGTCTCAAGCACATATTTTGAATGTAGTCAAGTTTTTTTAGAGATGTTTTGTTAGCAGTATCGTAGCATAAACAGCCGTAGTCAAGTTTACTTCGTATTAAAGATCTATATAGCGTAAGTAAGGTTGTTGTATCTGCCCCCCAAGAGGTATTTGACAGCATTTTTAGTAGATTAATTCTGGATTGGCAAGAACGTTGCAGATTGGTGATGTGGGTTTCCCAGTTTAAGTTACGTTCAAAAGAAAGTCCTAAGAAATTTATTTCTTCTGCTTGTTTTAGGACAACTCCATTTAGTGTTAATTGAACATTAGGATAATTTTTTCTTTTGCTAAAAATTAAATAACGTGTCTTTTCACTAGAGAATATAAAACCCGTGTTTTGCGACCAGCTTTCAATTGTGTGTAAGGTAGTTTGCAGTATATGTGTTCCCAGAATTACATTGTTTGTTCTTAGATAAATGACTAAGTCATCTGCATATAAGCTAGTAAATACAGGTAGTTTTATTTGATGTATAATACTATTTATTGCAACTAGAAAGAGAGTAGGACTTAGAGTAGATCCTTGTGGGGTGCCGTTTTGAAGTACTCGTCTGGAAGATGTAAATCCATTGGTTCTAACTCGAAAAGTTCGTGCTTTTAGAAAATTTTTAATAAAGAACAACATGTGCCCTTGAACATCCCATTCTTGAAGTGTTTTCAGTATAAGATGTCTCCATGTTGTGTCAAACGCTTTTCTTATGTCAAAAAATACGGCAATAAGTTTTTGGTTGTGCAGAAAGGATTCATGTATACTTGATTCAAGTGTTATTAGATTGTCTGTTGTGGATCTACCCGTACGAAATCCACTTTGTCTGATACTTATCAGGTTATTGTTTTCGAGGTACCATTTAAGACGATAATTAAGGATTTTTTCTAAAAGTTTGCAGGTACAACACGTAAGTGATATTGGACGATAGGAATTTGGATCGTCTTTTGGTTTATTATATTTAAGGACTGGAATTATAGTTGCTTGCGACCATAGATCAGGAAAGTCATGGTGAATAAAAATATTATTAAAAATATCAACTAACATTAGCTTTGCATTCAGAGGAAGATTTCGTAAGAAAAGAGGATGGATATCATCAGGACCTGGACTAGAATTTTTAGCACTTAAACAAAATTCTAATTCTTGAAGACTTACTGGTTTGTTTATTGGATTGCCGCTTTCTGTGATTTGTATATTTGAAGACTCCGTTAGTTTTTTGTGCTCTAAAAAGGATAGGCTGTAATTGGAATCACCAGAATTAAGTTCGTATATATCTGCTAGAATTTCTGGAATATCTTCTTTGTTTGAATGCGTTTGGTTATTGTATGATAAAGTATCTATACCTCGAAAGTATTTTGTCCCTTTTATTCTGCGGACTTTGTTCCATATGTTGCCTAAGGGAGTGGAAGGATTTATTGAAGAAACGTACTTTTTCCAACTTTCTCGTTTTGCTTTTTTGATTAATTGTCTGCTTTGAGCTCTGAGATTTTTAAACCTTAAAAGGTTTTCGACAGTTTTATGTTTCTTGTAAACGTTAAAAGCGTGTTTAGACAAAGTGAGTGCTTGTGCAATTTCGTTATTCCACCATGGAACTGGCTGCCTTTGACTCGATTTTGTTTTTCCCACTGCGATTGTTGCTGCAGAAATAATAATGTTATTAAATATTTCAAGATTTTGGTTTGCGTTATTGGTTAAATTAGATTTTTTTGTTTGTTCTTCAATCAGTGTTCGATATAAATTCCAATCAGCTGACTTTATTTTCCATGTCTGGTGAATTGGAAAAGTTGATTTAACATTAGTGTTTGTGGTTATTGTGATAGGGAAATGATCACTATCATATAAATACCCCAATGTGTCCCAGTACAATAAAGGAGCTAGCGACGGACTGCATAAAGAGAGATCTATGGCAGAAAATGTACCATTGTATGAATTGAACCTAGTAGATTTGCCAGTGTTTAGTAAAACTAAATTTAAATTATCAATTAGATTATTCAGGAGATTACCGCATTTGTCGGTTTTGCTACTTCCCCAAGTACTGTTGTGACAGTTAAAATCGCCTAATATTATTTTTGGGTGTGGAATTTGGTTTATAACATTGCTCAGTTCAGTTATGTCTAAATCAGTAGGATGAGGTAAGTATACATTGCAAATATTGATTTTCATTTTGTGGGTGACTGACACTGCAACTATTTCGAGATTTGTTTGCAGTTGTATTTCAGTTGACTCTATATCATTCCTTACAAAAATTGCTGTTCCACCGCTTGAGTGATCTGCAACTCGGTTTCTTAGAAAAGGAACATAGTTTTTTAATGTAACATTTTGGTGCTTGAAATGGGTCTCTTCTAGGCATATGACTAAAGGAAGATATTCGTGTATAAGAAGCTTAATGGATTCTATATGTGAAAAATAACCGTTGGGGTTCCACTGTAATATGAATGTGCTGGCCATTAACTCTTTATGTGTTAACTAGTTATTGTTGGGAACTTGATTCGTAGTCAGTTTCGTCAGTAGAAGAAGGACTGTTGAGAAGCAGCTTCTTCTTCAATCTGGTGATATTGTTTTTTAAAGTTTTATTTTGTATTTGAGAATATATAAAGTTTAAAATTTCTTTTATTTCTTGGCTTTCATTTGAATAATTTTTAACAATATGTTCAGGATGTTTTGAGTAAAGGGAATTTGCCAGAAAATCACATATTTCATGAAAAGTTAGTGTAAAGGAAGGGTTTCTATTTTCAATTTTTTCTTTAATTTGATTTAGAATAATTGGAATATCTACTTGGGTTTTGGGCTTTTTCTTAGTATAATGTATAATACATTGCGTAATACAGTTTTAGCGTTTTCTTCACCCTTCTGTTGATTTTATATTCTAGAGATACAGTTTCTTCTATTATTACTGCTAAGTATGTTAAAGTTTTAACTTGGTCTCTTGTTGTTCCGTAAAATTCTATTGTTAGTTCGTGTCTATCCTCGCCTAACTGCATAACTTTTTTTTGTTATTTTTTATCTTTATTCCGTTTTCAT